CGACCGAGAGGAGGGAGGGGAGCAGGCGCCCCGGCACACAGAAGAGCCGCATTAGACTGGGTAAAGAGCCGCATGTGGCTCGCGAGCCGCGGCTTGCCGACCACTGAATCATTAGATTCTAATGATTGGTCTATTTGTGAGCCGAAGCCACATGTTACAGATGAAATTGGAATTTTTCCCACGGCACACCAGACAATATCTCACGGCACACTAGTGTGCCGCGGCACAGTGGTTGAAAAACGCTGGTGTGTAGATGATCCTCCCTCTGTGAGTGTTCCTGCCGGTTTTATCTAGTTATGACTAATAGACTCATCAAATCTGAATAAACCTGGCCCAGAAGGCGGAACCTTCTCTGTGATTGGGGAATCTGATTATCTAACCCATGTTTACTCAAGCATTACCTCCCATGGCCACTGGGTGTCACCCTTGGATAAGAATTGTCTGGTCTGAGTTTATCTGGGGACAGAAGTAACTAATCTGTGATCGGGAAAAATGAATATTTCACTATAAACAAATTGTCCCTTGTGAAAGCTATAGAATGCCTTGGAGAGTAGATATTATTCCTCATTTACAATGATTACGTTTTGGTGTAACAGTGATTAAATGGAGAATTGTAACTATCAGGAGGTTGGATTACATAAAGTGATTAGAATAATAGTTGTACACACAGAGGAGAGATAATAAAAAGAATAATTTGTATACTGATCTACTGATTGATTATGGCTTTGGTAGCATGCATACAATATTCCTAACAATACCGATAAACTCCAACATACTAAATATATATCATGGGATTACAAATCAGCAAACATACTATAATATACTTCCTACATTCTTATGAGACAATCTGGTATTTTATCCCCATCACGTCTTTTCGTATAATCTGAAATATATGGAAACAGGGAGGTTCCTTTTTGTACCTTTTCACCAAAACTAAATGAGTCTCAGCAGTGTTACTGGAGTCACCTTGTTACATAGTTACAGAGTTCATCTGGATGGAAAAAAGACACCAATCCATCCAGTCCAACCAACAAAAAAAACAAAACACACAAATAGAACATTACATGAGGAAATGCACATCTTACTGTAAAAGGTCTCAGTAATCTATAAACAGAAGAATCCAGAAAAGAACTCTCACAGATCTGCAGCTTTGTAGAGTTAGCATTCATAATACACGGCTCAAAAAATGAAAGGGAGACTTATTAATCCGAGTCTAGCATCAAGTCAATGAAACTCCTGGGATATGGATCTGGTCAGGTAAGTCGCAGAGGGGGGCTGTTCATCAGTTTCAGCTGCTTTGGTGTTAATGAAATTAACAACAGGTGCTCTAGATGGGCAACAATGAGACAACCCTCAAAACAGGAATTTACAGGTGGAGGCCACTGACATTTTTTTCCCTACTCATCTTTTCTGACTGTTCTTCACTAGTTTTTGCTTTTGGCTAGGGTCAGTGTCACTACTGGTAGCATGAGGTCATACCTGGACCCTACAGAGGTTGCACAGGTAGTCCAACTCCTCCAGGATGGCACATCAATACGTGCCATTGCCAGAAGGTTTGCTGTGTCTCCCAGCACAATCTCAAGAGCATGGGGAGATTCCAGGAGACGAGAGCACGGAGGAGATTCCAGGAGACGAGAGCACAGAGGAGATTCCAGGAGACAGAGAGCACGGAGGAGATTCTAGGAGAGAAGAGAGCACAGAGGAGATTCCAGGAGACAGGCAGTTACTCTAGGAGAGCTGGACATGGCCAAAGAAGTTCTTAACCCACCAGCAGAACTGTATCTGCTCCTTTGTGCAAGGAGGAACAGGATGAGCACTGCCAGAGGACAAAACGACCTCCAGCAGGCCACTGGTGTGTATGTCTCTGATCAAACAATCAGAAACAGACTTTATGATAGTGGCCTGAGGGCCTGACATCCTCTAGTGGGCCCTGGCTCACTGCCTGGCACCATAGAGCTCCATTGGAATTTGCCATTGAACATTAGAATTGGCAGGTCCACCACTGGTGCCCTGTGCTTTTCACAGATGAGAGCAGGTTCCCCCTGAGCACATGTGACAGACATGAAAGGGTTCTGGAGAACATTCTGCTGCCTTAACATCATTTAGCATGACCGTTTTTGGTGGTGGTGGGTCAGTGATGGTCTGGGGAGGCATATCCATGGAGGGATGCACAGACCTCTACAGGCTAGACAATGGCACCCTGACTGCCATTAGGTAACGGGATGAAATCATTGGACCCATTGTCAGACCCTACACTGGTGCAGTGGGTCCTGGGTTCCTCCTGGTGAGTGGGTCCTGGGTTCCTCCTGGTGCATGGACAATGACCCAGCCTCATGTGGCAAAAGTGTACAGGAAGTTTCTGGAGGATGAAGGAATTAATACCACTGAATGGCCCCCATGCTGGCCTGACCTAAATCCAATAGAACACCTCTGGGATGTGATGTTTCAGTCCATCCAAGCCCCTGTTGCACCTTCAGACTGTCCAGGAGCACTGTGATGCCCTGGTCCAGATCTGGGAGAAAATCCCCCAGGACACCATCTTCCATCTCATTAGGAGCATGGCCCAACATTGTCAGGCATGCATACAAGCACTTGGGGGCCATACAAACTACTGAGGACCATTCGAGTTGCTGCAATTACATTTCGGTAAAATGGATTCGCCTGCTGTATCATTTTTTCTTGATTTTTGGGGTGTTTTTGTTTTTAGTTCCTCTGTAGGTCAATAATTTTCATTTCCATCAAATGATGGGGCATCCTTACATTCCTAACACATTATCCAGTCCATATCAGTATAGAGATCCAGCAGCAGATTTGTCCCCATTGAGATATGATGAGTTATCAAAGTCTTCCTTTCATTTTTTGTAGCAGTGCATAACATAAATTTAAGAGTTGGGTAGCTGAGATGTGAGGTGATCAGTAGAAATATGTAATTGTGAATCTAGTTTAATTCCATGTTATTTCAGATCAGTATTCAGTAATCAGTCAGACACATATGTTCTCAATTAGCATCTGAAAGGACAGAGCATCTTCTAGGCTGGAGGTGACACCTAGATGTCAATAAAATATTGTCACCTATGTAGCCAGAGTTTGCCACTTTCTTGAACCTAGAAGAAGAATCCTAGTCATTTTGGCTACAAGAGTCAGCAGGAGACCGTGAGAAGGCTCTGAAGTGTTTGTCAGCTTTGATTTATATCCACAAATCAAAGGAATTTATTTTATCTCTCATAAAAGCTAAAATATTTGTTGCAGAGGGATGAAAATACTTCTTTCTGTTTGGATACACTGTAGGCTACATCTGCATGTAAAACTGTATTTGTAGCCCCTGTGGAATCCCAGTGTCAGGGCTCCCAGGTATGACCAGAGATGTGTGACTGATGCAGGGAAACGCAGACTTCAGAAATGTGATAAACAATATAATTTATTAACACTAACCATACAAACATAAACGCAGGGCAATACTAAACATAATACAGTGCAAACAAACCAAACCAACCACCCACAGATAACAGTATATACAAGCAAGCGTCGTCAGGCAGGCCGGGTCAATATCAATTGGGCAGGTAGGTACGGGGGGGAGCAAGCAGAGAATGGTCGGGGTCACAGGCCAGGTTCAGCAGGTAGCAAGCAGCGAGGTACAGAGGGTCAGACAGAGGGGTGGTCAGGGTCACAAGCCAGGATCAGAGCAGGAGAAGTCAGCAGCAGTTCAGATCAGGGTCAGCGAAGGAACAGAAACAGGATGCAGGACAGATACAGGGCCCAGGACAAACACAACACCAAGGCAGAGTCTGCAAGTCTGGCCATCCCTTAAATACCCCAGTATCATCAGTTCCAGGTGTTAGCTGGCTGAAAGGTTGAGTCTCTGATTGCTGGGAGCACCCGCTGGCCAGCCCTGGTACTGCAGATCAAAAAGGCAGGTGAGTCCCACCATTGCTGGCCAGTCCATTCCTAACAGTACCCCCCCCTCAAGGAGCGGCCTCAGGACGCTCCAAACAGTCCTAGCTGGGCAAAATGTTCCACCGCCCGGGTCTGGCAACTGGCGGGATAGCAAAGACTGGCACACCGGGCAGGACTCCGGGCAGCGGCACATCAAGCAGAGGCACTCCGGGCAGAGGCACATCGGCAGGACTCCGGGCAGAGGCACATCGGGCAGAGGCACATCGGGCAGAGGCACATCGGGCAGGACTCCGGGCAGAGGCATCGGGCATCGGGCAGGACTCCGGGCAGAGGCACATCGGGCAGGCAGAGGCACATCCGGGCAGAGGCACATCGGGCAGAGGCACATCGGGCAGAGGCACATCGGGCAGGGGCACATCGGGCAGGATTCCGGGCAGAGGCACATCGGGCAGGACTCCGGGCAGAGGCACATCGGGCAGGACTCCGGGCAGAGGCACATCGGCATTAGGCATCGGATTACCAGGCGAAGCAGCAGGCAGCGGGCCCCCGGGCGGGGCGCAGCAGGCACCGGGCGGGCGGGGCACCGGGCCCCCGGGCGGGGCGACAGGCACCGGGCCCCGGGCGGGGCAGACAGGCACCGGGCCCCCGGGCGGAGCAGCAGGCACCGGGCCCCCGGGCGGGGCCCCCGGGCGGAGCGACAGGCACCGGGCCCCCCGGGGCGAGCAGCAGGCACCGGGCCCCCCGGGCAGGCACCGGGCCCCCGGCAGCAGGCACCGGGCCCCCGGGCGGAGCAGGCAGGCCGGGCCCCCGGGCGGGGCGGCAGGCACCGGGCCCCCGGGCGGGGAGCAGCAGGCACCGGGCCCCCGGGCGGGGCAGGCAGGCACCGGGCCCCCCCCCGGGCGGGGGGCGACAGGCACCGTGCCCCCAGGCGGGGCGACAGGCATCGTGCCCCCAGGCGGGGCGACAGGCATCGTGCCCCCAGGCGGGGCGACAGGCATCGTGCCCCCAGGCGGGGCGACAGGCATCGGGCCCGCGGCCCCGGGGCGGAGCGACAGGTCTCGGGCCCTCAGGCGGAGCGGCGGGCGCCGGACCCCCAGGCGGAGCGACAGGTCTCGGGCCCTCAGGCGGAGCGGCGGGCGCCGGACCCCCAGGAGGAGCGACAGGTCTCGGGCCCTCAGGCGGAGCGGCGGGCGCCGGACCCCCAGGTGGAGCGACAGGTCTCGGGCCCTCAGGCGGAGCGGCGGGCGCCGGACCCCCAGGCGGAGCGACAGGTCTCGGGCCCATAGGCGGAGCGGCGGGCGCCGGACCCCCAGGAGGAGCGACAGGTCTCGGGCCCTCAGGCGGAGCGGCGGGCGCCGGACCCCAGATGGAGCGACAGGTCTCGGGCCCTCAGGCGGAGCGGCGGGCGCCGGACCCCCAGATGGAGCGACAGGTCTCGGGCCCTCAGGCGGAGCGGCGGGGCGCCGGACCCCCAGGTGGAGCGACAGGTCTCGGGCCCTCAGGCGGAGCGGCGGGCGCCGGACCCCCAGGTGGAGCGACAGGTCTCGGGCCCTCAGGCGGAGCGGCGGGCGCCGGACCCCCAGATGGAGCGACAGGTCTCGGGCCCTCAGGCGGGGCGGCGGGCGCCGGACCCCCAGGTGGAGCGACAGGTCTCGGACCCTCAGGCGGAGCGACAGGTCTCAGGCCCCCCCAGGCGGGGCGGCGGGCGCCGGATCCCCAGGCGGAGCGGCGGGCGCTGGACCCCCAAGCGGAGCAACAGGTCTCGGGCCCCCAGGCGGAGCGGGGGCACCGAGTCACCAGGCACGACAGTGGGCTCCGAGTCAACTGGTATGACCGCAGGCACTGGGTCAGACATTGTATGTCTGGCTGGACAGCGGGCATCGGGTCACCAGGCATCAGGTCATTTGGCTCGACAGCGGGCACCGCGTCATCTGGCAAGGCAGTGGGCTCCGAGTCAACTGGTATGACCGCGGGCACTGGGTCAGACATTGGATCGTCTGACTGACCGGACAGCGGGCATCGGGTCACCAGGCATCAGGTCATTTGGCTCGACCGCGGGCACCGCGTCATCTGGCAAGGCAGTGGGCTCCGAGTCAACTGGTATGACCGCAGGCACTGGGTCAGACATTGTATGGTCTGGCTGGACAGTGGGCATCGGGTCACCAGGCATCAGGTCATTTGGCTCGACAGCGGGCACCGCGTCATCTGGCAAGGCAGTGGGCTCCAAGTCAACTGGTATGACCGCGGGCACTGGGTCAGACATTGGATCGTCTGACTGGACAGCGGGCACTGGGTCACCAGGCATCAGGTCATTTGGCTCGACAGCGGGCACCGCGTCATCCGGCAAGGCAGTGGGCTCCGAGTCAACTATGTATGACCGCGGGCACTGGGTCAGACATTGGATCGTCTGACTGGACAGCGGGCACTGGGTCACCAGGCATCAGGTCATTTGGCTCGACAGCGGGCACCGCGTCATCTGGCAAGGCAGTGGGCTCCAAGTCAACTGGTATGACCGCGGGCACTGGGTCAGACATTGGATCGTCTGACTGGACAGCGGGCACTGGGTCACCAGGCATCAGGTCATTTGGCTCGACAGCGGGCACCGCGTCATCTGGCAAGGCAGTGGGCACCGGGTCACCAGGCATTGGATCGTCTGGCTCGACAGCGGGCATCGGGTCACCAGGTATGACAGCGGGCACTGGGTCACCAGGCATCAGGTCATTTGGCTTGCCAGCGGGCACCGCGTCATCTGGCAAGGCAGTGGGCACCGGGTCACCAGGTATGACAGCGGGCTCTGAGTCAATTGGCACGACAGCGGGCACTGGATCAGGTACCGGATCATCTGGATCAACAGCGGGCATCGAGTCAACTGGCCTAATAGGATCGTCGGGCTGGATCAGTTCATCATGCTGAGTAGCGGCATCAGGCTGAATGCAGGCATCAGGCATCAGGCTGAGGAGGCTTCAGGAGGAGGCTTCAGGCTGAGGAGAGGCTTCAGGCTGAGGAGAGGCTTCAGGCTGAGGAGAGGCATCCGGCTGAGAGAGGCATCCGGCTGAAGAGAGGCATCCGGCTGAAGAGAGGCATCCGGCTGAAGAGAGGCATCAGGGCGAGTAGAGGCTTCAGGCTGAGTAGAGGCTTTAGGCTGAGTAGAGGCATCAGTCTGAACCACGGAAGGCAGGCTCACCGGTTTGGATACTGGCAGGATGGTATTGGTTGGAAAGAATTTTCGCTTTTTTCTGGTTTTAACTACTGGAGCACTGCAAGTAAACGCAGGTCTGCAAACGAATGGAGCACCTGGAGACAGAGAAAAACTGGAGGATGGAACAGGAGAGGGAGCAGTTGCTACAGAGGGCTCTTTTACAGGGAAAGGCAGGATAGGTGCAGCGAGTGGGAACAGGGGACTGACATGCGGTAGATAGCAGGGCAGGAGAGAGCTGGTGGGAATACAGGAGTAGAGTTAGAAGCAGGACTGGGTCTTTGTAAGCTGACTGAGGCTGGGTGCAACAAGTCTGTGTCCATGTCTGCAGTAGGGGTTGAACAAAGCTGAGCTTACACAAAGCCTGTCTGGTCAATGACTGCACTGCGTTGATACAATCTCTTAGTGTCTGTGGTGAACATGTGGAGTAACGCTCCAAAAGGTAACCCACATCATCCTCTAATAACCACACCAGGGACTCTACCTGGTCTGCACTAAATGGTGGCAAAAATTCATCCCTGCATTCGGGGGAACCAGATGAAACCAACTCTGCACAAACCTCAATCAATGGCTGCACCTCAGAGAACACTGTGCCCTGATCTACTAGAACATGAGCGAGCCGTATACATTCTAGCAATTCATCCCGGGTATACTCCTTCAGAGTTTGATAAGCATACTCCCTGTCATCAAACACTAGCAGATATAAATACTCAACCTCATCAAGATCCATCCTTCCCATCAACAAGCCAAGATGGCTTCCCTGTGCAGCCACTTCTGGTCAGGATTGGCCTTGGTGTAATGTCAGGGCTCCCAGGTATGACCAGAGATGTGTGACTGATGCAGGGAAACGCAGACTTCAGAAATGTGATAAAAACAATATAATTTATTAACACTAACCATACAAACATAAACGCAGTGCAATACTAAACATAATACAGTGCAAACAAACCAAACCAACCACCCACAGATAACAGTATATACAAGCAAGCGTCGTCAGGCAGGCCGGGTCAATATCAATTGGGCAGGTAGGTACGGGGGGAGCAAGCAGAGAATGGTCGGGGTCACAGGCCAGGTTCAGCAGGTAGCAAGCAGCGAGGTACAGAGGGTCAGACAGAGGGGTGGTCAGGGTCACAAGCCAGGATCAGAGCAGGAGAAGTCAGCAGCAGTTCAGATCAGGGTCAGCGAAGGAACAGAAACAGGATGCAGGACAGATACAGGGCCCAGGACAAACACAACACCAAGGCAGAGTCTGCAAGTCTGGCCATCCCTTAAATACCCCAGTATCATCAGTTCCAGGTGTTAGCTGGCTGAAAGGTTGAGTCTCTGATTGCTGGGAGCACCCCGCCGCTGGCCAGCCCTGGTACTGCAGATCAAAAAGGCAGGTGAGTCCCACCATTGCTGGCCAGTCCATTCCTAACACCCAGAGAAACACAAAACGGTTCTATGGTGCCTAATTGAGACCGCTGAACAGCGATTGGTACTGTTCTGTTCAGACTAACACACTGGTGTTGGAAATTCTATCCCTGACCAAGTGATCCAAACCATTCCTGGCCCATTCAGCTCTGGGCACTTCAGAACCCAGAACATCCTGTGGTACAGGAACACCCCCCAGGGTTGATTGGCCAAGGGCTAATGTGCAGCCCACATCCATATTTTAATAAATTGAGGACCCTGAGAAATGGACGGGGTGATTCGTACGGAGCCGGTTCCATGTGACTGGTGAATCATGGACTTTCTCTGACTTGCTCCAGTCACAGGATAAATCTTGGTAAAAGTTCTATTTCTGTTTTTATTCCCTTTTATTTTATTGTGAATAGCCAATTGTGTGCATTTTTGTATTTTCTGCAACTTTTTTTTTCTTTGTACATATTTAATGCATTACCCACTTTCGGGATATTACATCATAAAATGAATAAGTGACTTCTGTGTACTAAGCTCGGGCTCATATCTCCGGAGAGATTGTTGTATTGTAGAGTCTATGTGCTCGGTCTAAGTTCATTGCCAATCTGTATGCAATTGCACTGTGTGTTGGCAGATTGTCTGCAGATTGTAACATAGCAGATCTGCCAGACGGAGAGCTCTGTGTGTGTGTAGTGGACCAGCAGACGAGTCTGTGGACAAACTGTTGGTTGGTGGGAAGCTATCGTTTGTTGTGTGTCTGGTGTGGGGGGTGTGTGGACAGTGGAAGGTGATTAACACCGGGGTTCTAGCTTGTTGGATAGCTGGAGGATTCCTAGAAGGGTGTGCCAATTGCTAGACTGCTCCTCAACCCTTCGTGTGCACCAGATTGTATATAAGATTTGTATCTGCCTGTGTGTGGTCAGCCAGCTGGCGTAGAGTCTCCCTCTAGTGTTGGCCAGAGGTAGTGCGGGCTGTGAAAGGGTATCCTGACCAGTCTTATATGCTCAAAGTCCTCATTCCCTCTTTACCCCAAGTCACGGGCTGACCATGCCTTGGTTAGCTAGTCATTGTGGGTGTGTGCTTTATCTGTGACACAGTGTATAATCCATGATGTGGGACTTCTCTTGTCCTCATTACATTGGAGGACAGAAACTCTTCCATTGTGATAGAATAAATATAAATCAGCACACGTATATATATAAAATCCTCAGAAATCCCTTAAAGTCATATCAATATCCTTCCCCTGAAGTACTAATAAAACATATATTCATTGACTTAAACCCAAAAACCCACAGATCCTTGTTGACAAAGTCCGGAAGAGACGAAACGCGTCCAGGGCACGTGACGTTCCCAGAAGTGCTGCGGCAGCCATTTTGGATTCTGGAATCCCCTGTGTGTTGGAGGTCTGGAGAGTAACGGTGCACTTCAGGTATCCCCCTGAGCTACAAAGTGATAGTGCTGGATAGGAGTAGCAAGGGGGAATTATCTGGTGATCGGGAGACCCTCTACACACGGAAAGGGGATCGTATACTGGGCATGAGGAATTTGATGCTGTCTTGCTGATCTTATCGTTTTTTTTTATATGTAAGTGGCTACAATACATTTTATATATGATTATAATTCACATACTGATTCCTGGTCTGTTTTGTGAGGTCCTGAGGAACAAGAGGATACCAATCTAAGGACACTCTGTACATATGTGGTTGATTACAAGCTGGAATCTGTTTGTTTTAGGGTAATTATGCACTTTATATATAGTTTTGCAGTGATATTTATTAATTTTCTTTTCACATGAGTGCTGTGACACTGGAGTGTTTTTTTGCATGATACACGTGTGGCACTTTAGTTCTGGGATTTAAAAGGTAATATACTATGTTGAGATTTTGTTTTTTGAGGTATTTGAAGAGCACCTGTAATTGATTTGCATCTTCTTCTGTGGAGTAGGAAGCGTCTTCCTATCAAGAAATTGATCTTTGTTTGGACACATTATTTGGACTCTTTGCATATTGGAACTTTATTTTATTTTTGTTCTTTTATATATATTTTATATTTTTTATTTTTGGGTAATCTCTTTGGGTCTTGATTTTTTCACTATAATTGTGGGTTTTTGGGTTTAAGTCAATGAATATATGTTTCTTCCATTGTGATGTTTATTCCCAAGCTCTCCCAGAATCCCTCAGCTTGGAATAATGGTCCCTGTGTCTGCAGAAACGTAGAGAATACTTCCATATACCGCGTCTCTTCATCTTGTTCATCCTTCTTGTTGGCAGAACAATGACATCTCAGCTAGACTAGAGGATGTGGGGACCACCACGGGATTATTTGGTGTTTGTAATCACCCCCCCCCCCCCCCTTGTTCCTGCACTGAGGGGTCCCGGCTTCCATTCCTTCTCTATACACAGAACAAAATACTTCAGTTGGGGAGAAGTTTGTCCCTTGTGGGACTTGAGACCTGAAAATGACCCTTGTCTATTATTTGGTTTAAAAACTCCCATGGTTCAACCCGGGGAAACGATGAAAATATGATCTTCCTCATAGAAATTCTAAGAAAATGCAACATTTTCCATTTTAGGTCAAAAATCATTTTAAATTGTTTCCCATCACACAGAAGGAATGTACATGCTTTGTCACTGAGTGGATTGCTAGACAAATGTTTTTATCAATAGACCCCTAAATGTCAGGAGATATACTGTATTCTATTATATTGTATTATATTATGTTATGTTAAATTATATAAAGACGGGAACAGATTCAAACATGATAGTTCAATCAAAATATGAAATCTAAATATACATATAAAGTGCTTAAAAGGTGAAAATCTAATAAAGTGCTTGAATGGTGAAGAATCACTACGATGTGATCGGAATATATAAATTCTATTTGAAAAACAACACGGTGATCCACCTTAACTCAATGTTCCTCCACCTCAAAAATCGTATGGATGGCCGCTCTCCTCCTACCATGGACCTATGAATGAATACAGGTCAACCAAGCCTGGTAATTCCGATGCTCTAGATGTCAGCAGATGACAGGCACCACCTTCCATAATAATGTAAAACGGAATTCTTCTCAGATGATAGAAGCAGTAACATAGCGATTTGCATTTCAAAACTCCCGCTCTGTAAAAAGCTGGCAATTATGTCACTAGGCTCCGCCGCCACGCGTTACACCACCAACCACGTGGCTTCGTCAGGGAAAAGCCCATATATGCATCTAGGTAACCATGACTACTATTCCTGCTTCATTCTGTAGAGCCTGCAACATCCCACAGCCACAT